AAAGGGTTATGATTCTCAACTTGATTAGAATGGAAAATCTCATTGAAAAACCTCTGTGCCGGGGTGGCGCCTGTGGCTGAAAGGAGTAGGACATCCGCCCCATATATATGCCAGAGGTGGTGGTTTCAATCCCAGCTCTAGCCAAAACTGCAAAAAAAAGAAAAAAACAAAAACCTCTGTTCCATTCTGTATTCTGGTAGTAGAGTCAATGGTTTTCTTCCTCGTCAGTGACCACTGAATAAGTTCTTACTGGGTATTAACTTCTATTACAGGGATTAGTTTGAAAGATACATTTCAGTGAAACATTTTAGAAGCCATTTAACACATTAACTGCCTTGTGAGGTATGAACTGTTTTTCAAGTTTACACATTAACTTTTTACATCATTTTCAAGTTTTTATATTACGTTTTATTGTTGTATGTTTTAGGATCATTTTGTTTTCCAAGTTTCTTTCTATTTTAGTAAATAAAACACTAGGGCCCCAAGGAAAAAAAATTTTTTCTAGTGTGGCGGTGTGTTAAATATAATGAATTTATCAACACAAACTTTTTTTTTTTTTTGGAAACAGAGTCTCACTATATCACTCATGGTAGAGTGCCATGGTGTCAAACTCACAGCAACCTCAAACTCTTGGGCTTAAACAATTCTCTTGCTTCAGCCTTCCAAGTAGCTAGGACTACAAGCGCCCATCACAACACCCAGCTATTTTTGTTGTTGTCGTCATTATTGTTGTTGTTGTTGTTGTTTAGCAGGCCCAGGTGGCATTTGAATCCACCAGCCCCAGTGTATGTGGCCGGAGCCCAAGCCACTGAAGTACAGGTGCTGAGCCTAAGGCAGACTTTTTTTTTTTCAACTTTATCTAAGTGTAATTTACATACAATAAAGATATTTTAAGTACAAATTTCGATGATTTTTGGAAATATGTACAACTCAAATCCATTTCCTAAACTATTTTTTGGTGCCCCTTTGGAATTCAGCTCCTTCCCCTGCTTCTGCCCCATGGCAACATTGATCTGGTTTCTATTACTATACTTTCCTATATTGGACTATACTGCTACTGAACTTTGTTACTGTAGTTCCAAACCAACAAACAACATAAAAATGGAATAAAATTGCAACATTTATGTGAGCTAGCTTATGTGAAATTTGCATGTTTAGAAGAGAAAGATGATAATGGTAAGATAAATTTCCCAACATGAAGAGATGAGTGTGAAGTACAGGCATACCTTATTTTGTTGAACTTCCCTTTATTGCACTTTACAGAGAGTGTGTTTTTTACAAATTGGAGTTTTCTGGCAACCTTGCCTCAGGCAAGTCTGTTAGTAGCTTCATTTTTCCAACAGCACATTCTCATTTCTTGTCTATGTGTCACATTTTGGTAATTCTTGCAATATTTCAGACTTTTTCCATTAGTATTATATCTGTTCTGGTGATCTGTTACTATTGTAATTGTTTTGGAGTGCCCTGCCCATATGAAATGGTGAACTTAATCATCGCTGTGTGTTCTGATTGCTCTACGGAACAGCCATCCTGTCTCTCTCCTCAAGATTCTCTGTTCCCTGAGATACAATAACATTGACATTAGGCCAGTTAATCATTGACATTAGGCCACCCTGCAGTGGCCTCTAAGTGGGAGGAAGAGTAGTAGCACGTGTCTCACTTTAAATAAAAACCTAGAAATAACTAAGCTTTGTGAAGGCATGTCTAAAGCTGAGATAGGCAGAAAACTAGCTGGCCAAGTTGTGACTGCAAAGGGAAAGTTCTTGAAGGAAACTAAGAATATTTGCTATTCCAGTGAACACACCACTGATACGAAAGCAAAACAACATTATTGCTGATATGGAGGGACAGAAGATCAAACCAGCCACATCATTTCCTTAAGCCAAATCCAGAGCAAGGCCCCAACTCTCTTCAATTCTTTGAAGACCACAAGAGATGAAGAGCTAGGCGGTGCCTGTGGCTCAGTGGGTAGGGACCAGTCCCATATACTGAGGGTGGCGGGTTCGAGTCCAGCCCAGGCCAAACTGCAACAAAAAATAGCCGCACGTTATGGTGGGCACCTGTAGTCCCAGCCACTCAGGAGACTGAGGCAAGAGAATCGCCTAAGCCCAGGAGTTGGAGGTGCCGTGAGCTGTGACGCCACAGTACTCTACCAGGGGTGATAAAGTGAGATTCTGTGTCTAAAAAAAAAGAGGTAAAGAGCTGCAGAAGAAAATTTGAAACAGACAGAGACTGGTTCATAAAACTTAAGGAAAGAAACTTTCTCTGTAACATAAAAGTGCAAGGTGAAGCAGCAAATGCTGATGTAGAAGTTGCAGCAAGTTATCCAGAAGATCTAGCTAAGATCCTTAGTGAAGGTGCCTCCACTGAACAGATTTCTAGTGTCCAGCAGCCGTCAATATCGAGGCTAGACCCTCCACTAGCAAAAAGATCGTTACTCAGTGAAAGCTCAGATGATTCTTAGTATTCTTTTTTTAGAGACAGCTTCTCACTTTGTCGCCCTCAGTAGAGTGCTGTGGCGTCACAGCGCCCTACTCACTGAACCATAGGAGCTGCCCAATTGTTAGTATTTTTTAACAATAAAGTATGTTTTAATTTAGGTGTATTCGTTGTGTTTTAGATAATGCTTTTGCACACTCAGTAGACTACAATATAGTGTAAACATACCTTTTATACTATGTATACACTGGGAAACCAAAACATTTGTGTGACTTCTGTTGTTGGAATACTTACTTCACTATCATAGTCTGGAACTGAGCCTGCAATATCTCTGAAGTATGCCTGTATAGACTAATGTATGAATTAGAACCAGGTATTTATCTTTCGTCTCTATAATTGGAATATATAGAAGTGTTGGTAAAGAAAGTTGAATGCAGTCATTACACAATATGGTGTAAGAAACTCTAATATAGTGTTTCTTTTTTTTTAGAGACAGAGTCTCAGTTTATCACCCTCGGTAGAGTGTTACGGCATCACAGCTCACAGCAACCTTCAACTCCTGGGCTCAATCGATTCCCTTGCTTCAGCCTCCCTAGTAGCTGGGACCATAGTTGCCCGCCACAACACTCGGCTATTTTTTTGTTGCAGTTTGGCCAGAGCCGGGTTTGAACCCACCACCCTCGGTATATGGGCTGGCGCCCTACCCGCTGAGCCACAGGCACCACCCCAGTGTTTCTTTTATAGAAATTTTATTTTTGTCTTTTGTCTTTGGCCTTAATAAACTACTTAGAAAAAAACAAATGAACTATTCATTTGTTTTAGCATTTTTGTTAACATACCACATCTCACCATTCTTATTTTTTTGTGTCATAATCGAATAAAGATGAACAGAAGTATAATTTAATCCAATTATAGTGCCGGCAACAAAGAATAAGGATAAAATTTATGTTACAGTGAGAAAAATGTACCATATGTTTTGTTTTACCTTATAAAATATATAGCCTATGTTGACATCCCAGTATATTATTCTGTCTTTAATTTATAAAAGCCATATCTTTTAAAATAATCAGTATAGGGGTGGCGCCTGTGGCTCAGTGAGTAAGGTGTCAGCCCCATATACCGAGGGTGGTGAGTTCAAACCCAGCCCCGGCCAAACTGCAACAACAACAACAACAAAAAAGTTCATATAAAATAATCAGTATAGATTATTGAAATGACTTTTTCGCTAGGCTTGTCTAATCCTAATTGCTTAAATGCATAGAGTGCCACCTCTGAGCCAGGCATCAAGCTTGGTAATTTACATGCATTATTTCTAAATCTCCACAACTCCTCTTAGGATCATTATAGAAATATCATTTTAAAAATGATAAAACTGAGGCTAGAGTGGATAAGTAACTTGACTAAATGACATGGCTAGTTAGTGATGGAATTGGGATGGGAGGTGGATATCAAGATCATATATGTGAAGATCAAACTTTGAAGTTTAGAAGAAAATATAGTTGTGTATCTTTGGTACATGAGAGTAGGAAAGGATTTTTTTTTTTAAGTAGAAAAATTTCTACCCGTAACAGTCAAGGGTGATAAATTTGATTAATTTACCTTTAAAAATTCAATAGACCCTCCATAGTTGACTACCTCCCTACATTGACCACCTCCTTAAGTTGACTTAATTTTCAGAGACTGGATGTTCACCACATGTATGTATCAGTAGAGTAGGTCTAATTCCTTATGTTGACTGGTTCGTTACAGTCCCTTGGGTGGGCAGCTGACACAGGTTCTACTATATGGTGTTTCCTAGAAGTAGTCTTGGTGTTGTTGTAACAGAGGGTGGAGTTAAACCAACAAAACCTGACTCATCTTGTTTATGTCAAAGTAGTGAGATATGTGACTCATCAGCAAACACGAAGTAATCTTCAGAGCTATTGTACCGACAAAGAGCAGGTGAAACATGGAATTTGTCTAATTATTTGTAAGCCATAGATGACGCATATAGTAAAAGCATCCAGAAAAGACTTAAGTTCCTTGAGTCTCCCTGTCTGCTACTGTGAGAGTGGGAAGGGTAGGGAAATTTGAAGTTTTTAAAGGATCAGTCAAGAGTTGAAGTAAGGTTAACATCCGTGCAAAATAAAGAAGTCATGGTTGCTTTTTGGTAGGAGAAGCAGAAGGAATCAATAAGAACAGTTATCTAGGCCTGGTGCCGCGGCATACCTGTAAACCTAGCACTCTGAGAGGCTGAGGCAAGTGGCTTGCCTGATTTCAGGAGTTCAAGACCAGCTTGAGGCAGTGTGAGACCCTGTCTCTAAAAATGACTGGGTGTAGTGGCGGCCACCTATAGTCTCAGCTGGTAGGGAGGCTGAGGCAAGAGAATCACTTGAGCCCAAGAGTTTGAGGTTGATGTGAGCAATGATGCCACAGCACTCTACCGAGGGTGACAAAGTAAGACTCTGTCTCAAAAATAAATAAATAAACCAGCTACTTAGCCTTGTTGGTCTTCTGAGTGTTTAGATGCAAAATGATGTTTGTGGCCATTTGACAGTAATATTGTTGATGTTTTTGTTAAGGCAGCTAAGAATGGAGCAACAGGAGTGGAGCTGGACCTTGAATTTACTTCTGACGGGGTTCCTGTCTTGATGCATGATAACACAGTAGATAGGACAACTGATGGGACTGGTCGATTGTGTGATTTGACATTTGAACAAGTTAGGAAGCTTAATCCTGCAGCAAATCACAGACGCAGGTAAGTAGTTTATTGTCGTTTAAACATACCTTTTAGCTTTTATTGGCGGTCACAGACTAGGCCCTTTCTAATTACATTTCTGCTTCAGGAGAGTCATTTCACTTTGTTTTGTTTTAAACTATAAATGGGTTTCCTAAGTAAGGAGCAGGTGCCAGAAAGAACAGAAATGTGGCATTATGTTTTTAATCTTTCCAACTGAGAATTATTCTTATAATAATACTCTGTCTAGACACTAACAAATAGTTACTTTATACTGTCATTTAAATTATAGAAAGATAGGCTTGGCACCTGTGCCTCAAGCAGCTAAGGCGCCAGCCACATACACCTAAGCTGGAGGGTTCAAGTCCAGCCCAGGCCCACCAAACAACAATGACAGCTGCAACCAAAAAATAGCCAGGCATTGTGGCAACTGCCTGTAGTCCCAGCTACTTGGCAGGCGGAGGCAGGAGAATCGCTTAAGCCCAGGAATTGGAGGATGCTGTGAGCTGTGATACCACGGCACTGTACCCAGGGTAACAGCTTGAAGCTCTGTCTAAAAAAAAAAAAAGAAAAGAAAGATAAAAAAGAGAAAAACAGAACTTCAAAATAAATAGATAAATAAATTATAGAAACATGAGGCTAAAAGTTATCACTTGTCTTCATATACACCAGGAAACAAATTATGCATTCTTTTAAATAAATCTTTGAGTGGTAAGATCACCTTTTAACCTAACCCTTTTAATTCTTCATATCCTCGTAACAAGCTTCTGAGGAATCACACTTACAGAAATAGTATCCTGGAAATCATCTAGAATAGTACTGTACAGTAGAACTTTATGCAATGATGGAAAGACTCAGTGCTATCTAATATGATCACCAGCTGTGCCTACTGAGACCTTGAAATTGGCCTGTGAGACTGAGGAAGTGAATTTTAAATGTAAATTTAAACTTAAATAGCCATATGTGGCTACCATATTAGATAGGTAAGTAGTTATAGTTAAGTCTATATTGATCTAGATGATCTAGATCAATCTTGCTTTTAGAGAAAATCCCAGAAAAGTTAAATGACTTACTTGAGGATATAGAACTAGTCCATAAAGAAGCCAAGACTAGAATCTAGATATCCTAGTTCCTAGGTCAAAGAAACATCCACTATATCATGCTGTCTTTGGTTGCATCCAATGTCTCTTAACCCCTTGCGAGTATAAGGTCTTTTAGATGTCTAATTTGAGTCTCTCCTGGCATGTTTAAATTGGTATCTTCCAAAGTGTATATATCAGAGCTAGTCCTATAAGATGTTCTGCAAGAAAAGTGTTCTATGATCAAATACTATCAGACACTATACTCTGGTTATTCCTCTTGGGGACATTACAGTCCACATCAATCACTTCTTACCTTTAACACAGAGTTTCTCAAACTTATATGACCATAGAACCCACACTCTGACCATAGCTACCAGAGTAGCTATAAACACTCTTAGAATTGGTATACTGGGTAATATATTTAGAATGTAGTCATCTGAATCCCTCTCCTCTTATCTTTGTAATACTGAAAAGGGTGTACTTACTGTTATTGAGGTAATATCAGTTATCTGAACAGTGATCAATGCTCCTTGAATATTGAGTGTTTGATGCAGTGATTAAGTTATCATTCTCCCTAAAAGACAATTTAGACTTTATTTTCCTAGGATAGGAAAGAAATTAAAGTCAGCCAAAGGAAATCATACTGCAGACTGGAAAGAATATTGATAATACTTGAAAGTTACAAGTCGGCTCGGCGCCTATAGCTCAACCGGCTAAGGC